GCGTCTTCAATTGCCCTCTCACTCGCGGTTTTAACCAAAATATTGCAGCCTGTACAACTTCAACGCGTACACGGGTAGCGTGCCGGCGAGTTTCGTCGATCAGATGGGTGCGGACGGGCTTGCCAGCCTTGTGACGGGTCTGCATGTCACAACCTGCCAGCCCTCAGCCTCACTGCCGACCTCTGCGCCCCCGTACACGGGCGCCGGCGGGACTGCGACCGCTCAGGCTTCCGTCTCGACCATCACCTCCGCGCCTGCGTCCTGATGGGTCCCCCCAAAAAGCTGTTTCCAAAGCCGGATATACATACACGCCTACCACGTAATAATATCTACGATCCACACGAGCGCTCTCCGAGTTCGAGGCTATGAAAGCGTTACGGTCGAAACCTGTTGAACCATTCCAAAGACGGAACCGTGTGAATTCGTCACGGCAATCACCGGGCGCCACGTGGCAGCACAATCCTTCCTCAGGCGCCTGCTGTCGCACTTGCTGGCGCTTGCTCTCTCTATCGCCCTGCATCTGGCTGTAATGTTGATGAAAGGGTCTGTATTGTCTGCTCCTGGAGTCGAAATCACCGAAACGGCGCCGAAGCTGCTGAAGGCTTCAAGCCACGTCGAGCTTCCGCGGGCCACACTGCGCGTTTCTTCTGGCCTCGATTTTGCCTGGCTCGCCTGCTCGTACCTGTGTACGATATGATCGCATTGGCAACACGCGCGTCGGCGACCGGTGACCACCACGCTCAGCCATCCAGCATGAGATATCAATGCGTCGGACGCTTCTGCTTCTAACGCCACGGTTAAAAGGCCATTCAACTGTTTCTGACAGCGTTTCAAGTCATAAGAGCCACCCGTGCTCAACAATCAGGCCACAAACTGTTCTCGCACAAGCCAGCAGGCGAGCAAAGGCATCATCAAGCCGAAATCATCTGGGCTCTCAGTCTCTCACAATCCCCGTGCTTCTGCGACCCTTGGATCTCGGCGACCATAGAAATGCTCTCAAACCCATGACGTTCCTTGACGGAATGCTTAAAGGGTCTCTTCAATCCATGACGCTTATACCATCCTCCCCATCAACCTATTCAAAACGAGACACGTCCATGGATAATGATGGTAACTATCCGTGTTTCTGTCCCAAAATTTTCTACAGCTCATTTCACTACTTACACCGAGATGAACAAATGGTTGAGAATTGGTGTGTTGTTCAACTTCATGTCTACATTCGGTTGTTGCCTTGGCGTTTGATCACGCGGCCAAGCTGTGGCTGATTTTTTTGCGTCAGGTGCCCGATCGACGGCCACCACAGCGTGCTCGACTCGGAGCCGAGGTTGTTCTACTGAAAAACTAGGCTCCTCCGTTGTTCTTCCGGGTGCATGTGTTTTTTGGTGCGTGCGTGGGGCCCTCGAAATCTTTGATGCGACATTTTAGAAGGAACTTCTTTCAATCGTGTATAGACCTGATGATGCATGGTTCTTGACCGTGTTACGAACCGTCCTTGTGCAGCCGCCGCACATGACGATGTCAAGGGCTATATAGAACGCAAGACGAGTCGCGTCCTCGATTCAACGTCTCGTGAAGCATGCGTATCAACTTCATTGCAACGGTGTTTGCGTCGGCGCTGCTGGCTGCAGCTACGCCAGGCCCTGTGTCGGTGGAGAAACGACAGAGCTTTCCGCGCATGGTATGTCTCACAAATGTTCTCTTGGAGTACCGCTGACACCAACTCGTAGGTGGTAAGTTAGCTCACGTATTGAATTATTTTCTGCTCACGTCGGATACCCCGCAAGTTCTGTCATTTCATGGTGCGTGGCATGCGCATGGTTGCGTCTGTGTCTGTCCTAATTCTGCACCCCAGATTGGAATCGAGAGCGATCGTACAAGCTCTGCGGATGTACGTCGTTACACCTTCCTTTCCCTCAGTTACTCACAGTCCATCCAGTATGATGCAGACATGATCCGCGCAAAATCGTGCGTTCCGATTCAGCGAGAAAGAACCACCGCTTACGGGGGAATAGATACGGTATCGACGCGTTCGCGCTCAACATTGTGCGTGTGCTGTCATTTATTTTCTTGGGCGCTGGTTGACGTTCCTGCAGGGAGGTTCGTGTTCTCTTCCATGGCTCCCAATGTCAGAGGCTAACCAACTGCGAACTGTTCAGTCGATCCCTATACGTGCGTCTCCTCTATCTACCCTTGTCCACTCTAACGCATCCACAGCGACACTCAACGTTTGTGATCGAGTTTTCGCTACTCCCCCGCTTCTCATAGGTTTCCCAGTGCACTTTGCCTACGATTCCGCCGCCCGTAACGGGATGAAAGGTGCGCACTACGACTATCTTTCGCGGCGCAGTCTGGATGCTTAACTTAGTACAGTGTTCATCAGCTACGATTTCAACTGTACGTTGCTGGTCGATTAAAGGCTTGAGTGTGAAGCCCTTGACATTGAGACTGTGTGTAGGGTGGAACACCGGCCAAGGCGCGCAGATCGGATCCCATCTCGCGCAATACGCGGCGCTCCCCGCTCAGCTCTTCATTAACAATGCTGTGAGTCTCGCGCCTCTTATTTCCAAAGACGCGAGTTGACGCGTCTCCGTGCCCCAGGCCTTTGTGTCCTCGTTCGCCGGGGACGGCGTCGACGTTGCTGCCATGCGCAGCGCAGCTGGACGGGCGATCATGTTTGTACCCAACTTCCATCCTGGTACGTCTTGCTCCTCTCACCTTTCCTTGTAATGAACTCAACCGTGCTCTTTCAGGCCAAGGCAACTTTGGCCTCATCGATGGTGCACTCAACTGGTACGTTCCCATCCATTACCCGCAAGGCCTTTATTCCTGACGCGCCTATCTCCGCAGGATGGCATGGGTATGGCTGCTCCAGAACGTACCACCTCCGAGGCACTAACCGCGTTTCGCAGCCCAACAACGGTAACAACAAGGCCCCCACACCTGGCGCGAACGTCACCGTCGCAGCCGGCGACTCCTCTTACCAATCCGCACTTGCCGGAAAGCCCTACCTCGCCCCTGCCAGTCCCTGGTTCAGCACACACTACGGGCCTGAGGTGCGTCGGTTTTCTTTCATTGTCAGAATATCAACTAAAGGATGGGTTGCTGTGCGTTAGGTCTCGTACTCCAAGAACTGGGTCTTCCCTGGCGATTTGTTGTGGTACACCCGCTGGAACGACCTCCTCAAGCTCGGACCTGCCTTTATCGAGATCGTGACTTGGTAGGCTTGTCCCGTTTCAGGCTCCTTTTGGTACTCATGGATCACAGGAATGACTATGGTGAATCACACTATGTCGGCCCTCTCAGCAGCAAGCACCAGGTGAGTGGCGATGGAACTTTTTTATACGTGCGCGCCTAACAATTATTCCAGGACGATGGAGGATCCAAGTGGGTCAACGATATGTCAGTATCTGTTTTGCTTCCTATGCTGCGATGTTGACGCTCGCTCTCCGCAAGGCCGCACAACGTAAGAGATTATTGCGCTTTTGGCCACATGGGAGATCTCACGGCGATATTCAGGCTTGGTTGGACATGGCGAAGCCCTTCATCGCGGCGTACAAGGCGGGCGCATCATCTCCCAACAGCTTCATCACCCAGGACCAGATCATTTACTGGTAAGTATTCCTTCAACCCCCAGCAATTGTCGTTAGCTAACGAATGCCACAGGTACCGCCCGACATTGTCCACCATCAAGTACGTATCCCGAAGGACTGCTGTTTGCTTGGCTTATCCTTTTTTCAGCTGCGATGCTACCGACACGACGGCCAACACCCCCGCGAACAACGCTAGCGGCAACTACTTCGAAGGGGTATGTACTCTCAAAGTTGCCTCCAACATTCTCTAACGTCGACGTAGCGCCCCGACGGCTATCAGTCCATGCAGGATGCAATCTTCGCCGTGACACTGCTCACGAGCCCCGCCCAACTCACCATGACCTCGGGCGGCAACACCCAGGTCTTCAACGCCCCTGCCGGCGCCGCCGCCTTCAGCATTCCCATGCACGTCGGCCAGCAAAGCTTCGCCCTGGCCCGCAACAACGTCAACGTCCTCGCCGCCAACAGCTTGAAGGACGTCTCGTCTGTTTGCCCTTGCGGGTGCGTTGCATCGCCACCTCTTCTTGCCTTCCGCTCACCCTTTTGAATGCTCCAGTCTGTACAACTTCAACGCGTACACCGGTAGCGTCCCCGCCAACTTCGTTGACCAGATGGGTCCGGATGGGCTTGCGAGTCTCGTGGCGGGCCTGCACGTCACAACCTGCCAGCCCTCGCCCTCGCTCCCGACGTCGGCGCCCCCGTACACCGGCCCCGGTGGGACTGCGACCGCTCCCCCGACGTCCAGCTCCTCGTCGACTATCACTGCGCCCCCGGTATGTTCCGTTTTCCTGTGTGCCGGATGAAGGACGTAGCTTACCGTTGCCTGCGCAGACGTCTTCGAGCCCCACGAGCTCGTCGACTATCACATCCACGCCCACGTCCTCCTCGACCATCACCTCCAACCCGGCGTCTACGACTACGACTACGACCGGTACCGGCGGCTCATGCACCATCACCGCGTCCGAGCAGATCCGGCCGACCAACTGCATGCAGAAGTACGTGTTTTCCCCCACGGTTGGAAGCAGCGAACTGATCATATTATTGCGTTCTTGCAGAGGCTGTGTGTGGGATGGTCCTGCCGGCTCCGATTCGCCCGACTACTGTGGGTAAGGTGGCGGAATTGGAAGCATGAATGGGCGTATTTGGGGCCCTATGTTAGCTGCGAGTCTTCTATCATTCACGAATTGAATATTTGTTCTCCTTCTTTCGTTGTCATGGACTGGCTTGGACTGGGCGACAATGAATTAACACCTATGATTTTTTTCGAGGGCGGGCTGGCGGGGTGAACAGCGTGCTATTAAGGCGTTAGTGGAGGTGTTGGGTTCCGTACAAGTTTCCTATCCACTAGTCCCGATGCTCACGATGGAGAAGATATATCCGACATAAAAAGAGCAAATCTCGCCATCATCATGACCCGGGCCGGAATCGAACAGGCACCTTCTGTGAAACGTTGAAGAACTACGGTATAGATACGAGCGACAGATGCGGACCATCCACCACCGAGTCGTGGAATTACCTTATCTTAACCTGGATGCATGGCGGGACAAATTTAATCTCGATCCGATGTTGAGTGCTTCCGGACGATATTGAACTCGCAGCGATCATGAACACACTGCAAATAGAGAAAGTCAGTTCGGATAAAGCTGGTGGAGACACTAAGACACAAAAAGACTTGAAAAACCGAAGTTTGGGAAAGACTGACTCGAACAGGCTTCTTCCGCAAATACCTCCAGGACTCCATGATATGAACGGCGGACGCGGAACCGCCCGCTACCGAGTCGAGATACCTGCTAGTGAACTATCTGTTCAAAACAGCGTTCAACGTTCCCTTTGTGGTGGTACTCCCAAATACCGTGCAGACTATGAACTCAGAACGGCTGGTTGAACCGTGGAATGTGCGACTTTGAGAGGTGCAGAAACAGAAGGGGAAAATAATCCACCCTTCATTCCACTGCCTGGGTCTTCTACTGGCACGTACTGCGCGATACGCACGCCATGGAGGCATGTAGAACCGAGTTCGATACAGTCAAACGACCGCTATCCCGCTGATATGAACTGGCGCAGCTGGTTTCATGGCAAGGTACTTAACAACGAGCCAGCGAATACAAAGGTGTCTGCGGACACATGAATGCATACGGCATGGCCAGAATCCTTCGGACGTCCAGAATCAGCGGTAACTGGGATAATCCGGGGGATAAGTCGAAATGAGAGCAAAAGCAGAATTTCAACTCGAATCATGATACGTGTCAGTAGTAAGATTAGCAGATGCAGAGCATCCACCGCTGAATCGATAGAATGCTGTGATTTGCATGAATAGACAGGTAACATTTCAGCTGGACGACGATATTGTGGCGTAGCATTCGGTACGCATTGAAGGGTTAGTAATCCACCCACCATGAACATTGAATATTTTACAAACATTGTCTCTCCCGGGGTAATTCACGACTCATCATGGAACACATGCAATGTTATTTTTCCCTGTCGGTCGATAGGTCGATGGTTATGGAGAGTGAACGCCTATTTTGTGCCTTCAAAACCATGTCGTCCCAGCCATCAGCGTGCTGATATTCTTCGCGAATATCTGGTGGGCAGCCGCTGTCATATTCATATCTCAATCAGCTTCATCGCTCCCCCGAAGGAACGAACTCACCGGAAGGATGGAAGTTGTTTCTGCACGCGCACTAGTCAGCCCATACTCAAAGGAAGGCTAAACGCGACCAGAAACTCACCCCCAGAAATCGCCCGGATTCCCAAAGCTCGTCCCGTCAACGAAACCGAACTGCGTCGGTGACGCGAGGATCGCGGCAAAAGCCTTGTTCGAGTCCCAGAGCCAGGTTGTTGTCTGGCACAGCAGCGGAAAATAAACAACCGACACCAAGACGAGGATGTTGGGCTGCACGTACCCCCGAGTTCGCGGCCTTGAATGAGGCGACGCGGGCGGCGAGTCGCGTGTTGAAGTCCGCGATGACGGATTTTAGGAGAGTCTGTGCGGCGGCGCCTTCGGCAGCGATCTATGCACAAATCAACATGTGCACCTTTTCCTATGTAAAAAAAAGCGAATGCATCGCACGAGAGGTGTGAGATCGACTGTTGGAACGTTGAGAAAGAGGAAATTGCGTGCGCCGACGCCGCTGTTGGAGAATTAGTAGGAGATGCTTGGAATTCAAACCTGGGCGCACTACTGTGGAGGACGAGCAAGTGAATGAGTAGACGTAATAATAATAAGCAATGATGAAGACGACAAGACGCACGAGTTGTTGCATGAGCCCGAAATACTGATCGAGGAGCGTGTCGGCGAATCTATTAAGGCAGAACATGAGTCAGGCAGGCCAACACAAGGGTAACGCAGTACTCACGCTCCACGGTCCCCAGCCTCGAAGTAACTTCCCGCCATATCATTTACCCCTGCGCGCTGGCGTTATAATATTACAGCGACGGTTCACGAAGTAGTCCGCACCGATCCAGACAGAGAACAGCGCATTGGCACTCGTCCACGGCGTCGTCGCAGGCTTACTTGCGACGCTGTTCAAAAATTCGTTCACCTGATCTCCGAGCGAGAGCACCGTTGGCTCGTACGGCGCGACGAGGGTCGCATTGATGGTCGCACCACCGTACGCGAAGTTGTATGTGTACAGCAAGGAGGAGTTGTATGTGAACGTGTCGAACCCGACGTAGTTCTCACCTATATCCCTCATTCAGCAGAAAGAGATGGACACGCAGAGGAGATAACGCGCGCACCTCCGGCACCGGTGAACCCCGGGAACGGCGGGTTCCCGAGTGGGTTGTGGACGTTCGGGAGGACACTGGTGATATTGAATCCGGTAGTTGTGTAGCTGTCGCCACTGCATGTTTTCTTAGCTACGTTGCAAGAATTGAATTGAAGCGGGACGCACAAGGGGAACCAGTAGTTGATCGGTCCGGCAGGTGGTGGTGGCGCCGTTCCTGGGACGCACTGGCTGAAGACTGTACGGACAACGGTCAGCGGAAACATGCAAACTCCGGAAGGATCTTACAATCACTCTCCCAGCTACAGAAGTAGCTGATAAAGAATTTTGTAAGGAATGAGAAAGTAAACGAAGCAGAGAGGCGACGCACCCAGCAACGCAGACAGTGGGACCCGTGTATGTGAGACCTAAGAGAGAGAAAATGCCTGAGCTCTCCGTGTCTTTATTTCAGAAGGAGTGGGCCTCACCGCCACATTGTCCGAAAGCCGGGACCGTCTGTGCTGCAGCGCCGGACGCAAAGAGCGCGAGTGCGAGAAGGGATACAAATACACGTGGAGACATGACTGCGTGGCGAGCGCACGAACTGGGTTCTTATATTTCGATTTCGTGACGGGTGGGAACGGTCGCCAAAGTCAGGTGGGCGTAAAACACCGGGTTTTTTCCGAGGTGCGGGGACGAATACAGGAGATTAGAGCAACGAAGAAGTAGAGGTGTATTTGAAAGCATAGGAGCTTGTTCAAAGACAGCGAGTTGCTGAGTGCATGGTGTGATGAGAGTCGTTGGAACGGATTTGCGGCGCTTGTAAGTGAGTTGTGCCTGAGAAGAGAATGTGATTCATGCTGTTGCGGAGGATCAGTGGCCAGCCATCGACACCCGAGGACATACCGTAATTCACCCGGATGCGCAAGACCGCTGTCTGCTGCTCGATGAGAATGATGGGCAAAGGCAGCAAAATTAGACGAACAAGCCTAAATAGCTTCTTTGTTCGCTCATTTCGTGTAAGCGGGCGGCGGAGCCTCAAATGCGGGGCGCGGTGGATCCTGTACTTCGCGGGCAGGTACAGCGGGCGGCGCGTCCTCCACATGGCAGTGTCCACGGTTAGTCCGTATGGACATGGACGGCAGAGTTTGAAACCCTCTACCGGCTCGACTGTACCCACCCGGCGCGGACGGTGGGTGTAGGCGCCGGCGCCGCCACACCAAGAAGGCCGCAATTGAAAAGAGGACGATCCCGAGGACCGTAGCGAGCGCGATGACGACCGTAGATTGCGAAGTACGTGCAGCGAAGACAGCATCGTTACTCGTGGGTCCAGGGAGCGCGCTTGTGGAGGAGGACTTGAACGAGGAGCTCGATCCTGAGCGGGTTGAGATCCAGTCAGTAAGATTTGTGTAGTATCCATCTTCACGCACTTGGAGGGCAATTGTCATCCTCGTCCTCGTTACAACGAGGGACGTATCTGTCGCCAATTTAGATATGGAGTCCTCGATATGCACGAGATCACACCTGAAGTGAGGCCCTGTCTGATCGATAGAGCGCTCGTAGTCCAAAGCATGCATCGCGTCCGTAGTGATGATGGTCAGTTTATTAGCGATGCCCACGGAGAGACTGGGGGGAGCAACGAAGACAATGGGGGCCATGGCAAGCACAATGGTGGGGATTCTGGGTTCAATGGTGTCCCCGTTTTATCGTTCCATGTATCGATTCGTTCTACCTCCGCCTTTTGCAATATCGCCGCACCACAAATTGAAGAAGCTGGATCCACCATTGAAGACACGATTTTCGAGCTCGATATCGCCACCTTATCGCCGTGCGAGATTCACATAACTTCGCATTACCTTCAGCCTCTTGAGATAGGGATGGATGTGAAGTGCTGAGAGAACCTGGGCCGGGCGAGAGCCTGAGATGCGAGACTCTTCAAAGGGTGAGGAGAGGAGAGAACTCTGCTGCCTTCAAGACCGAGGCCAGCACCAGAGCCACGAGAAACAGTGCTGCTCCCCTGCCGGAGGCTCAGAGACTGAGAGAGACTGAGAGGTTGTGGCGAACGGAAAGAAACTTGAAAGAAACGTCGCGGCGTGTCCACCACACGTGACCATCCAACCCACGTGATCGACCGCGTCCCGCCAGAGCGGCCAAACACAAGCAAATTGAACTAGCATTGTCGCAAGTGAATATTTTATCTGGCCCGCAGTGCTCCCCTGTGTATGATACCTCTGGCCAAAACCCGACCATCCAATTTTTCAGGGTGGTGGCCAAGGCGGTGGCTTGCGATCTCGAGACGCTGCTTTATCGTTCTCCTATCAGCGAAAGTGCAATTGACATACGAACAGCACTTGTTCACAGGATAGTGTACAGTGGGAGGCGCGTACCTTGAGATAGCGTAGACAAGGCAGTTAGACTTTGTGTTCAAATGAAGGTTGAATTTCTAGTTGCGATGCGTGTAACGACAGCGTGGGCACATCAACAATTATTTGACGGGTGACCGTTGTGACATCCGTCCTTGCCACTTGCCATGCACCACCAGGCCTCTCATCCTGCGGTCTCCCCCATCCACCCTCGATTTCCGAACTTTCGTAGCTGCTTGGACACTGCAAGTTGATTCTGGATTTCTTTGGGGGCCGCAGAACTCGCAGTCTTGCGGAACTTGGGCGGGAACGGCTGCTGCATCCTGGCATCCTTGTATCTACGACTGATACGGGGCTTATTGCTCTCCCCCTCCGGGAACAACCCGTTATCTACCTCTACTGCGTGGCATCGGCATTCCAAACGCGGTCCTCAGGCAGT